ACTGCTGAGATGATGAACTTGTTGACTGAAAGGTTGGTGGTTCGAATCCATGCAGTGGGGTAAGCTCCCGCTGTTAGGCCCAGCTTCTGCCAACCTAGCAGTTTGAAAACATGCAAATGTGAATAAATAAATAGATACAATTCCAGCAGGAAGGTAATGGTGCTCCATGCATTTATGCCTGCCACATGACCTTGGAGGCATCTACGGACAACATCGGGACTTCATCTTAGAAATGGAGATGAGCACCAACCCCCAGAGTCAGACACAACTAGACTTAATGTCAGGGGGAAACCTTTACCTACCTTTGAGTGATCAAAAGTGCTAAATCTTATCCTTTAAAAAGATTCAACACTTTGTATAGTTTATTTAAAATCTGGAGCAAAATCCAGAGTGAACTCATTGCCTGACTAATAGGGATTGACATCAGCTGCCAGCACCAAACTGAAGGGAGAGAAGACAGTCTCTAATTCCCAATTTGTCTGAAGTGCTGCTGCTTTCTCCATCCTCTCTCCTTCTGCACTTTCTGGACATACTTCGCATACTCAGGAGTTGTAGTGTTTGTTTTTTCAAGTAGCTTTTCCAGACTTGGCAGCAAGCCAAGCGAAAAAGACAAAGTATAGCGAGCCTTGGGACCCTGAAACCCCCACCCACTGGGACAAGTATGAGGAGAGCCAAAGATTTTGCTGCCATTTTTCACTTAGTTCAAACCCAAACATATTGTAAATCAGTTTAGCTAATGCTAAAATGAAATGCACCCAATTCAAACAATGAACTATGAAGCTGTCTTAACTCAGCAAAGCAGAGAGAGAAATAAGCACATTTTAGATCAAGGTGGGCATTACTAAGTGAGCCACAGAAAGTCCCCAGATTGCGTTTTCCTGACCACAATACCCTTCAGACTCATTCTGTAGCCCCTCTCCTGCAGAAAAATTGCAAAAAACAATTTCTGCTTCTGCAAACATCAAAGAACACAACACATTATGCTACCTATGCAGCTTGCCCCTCGCAGCGCAAAGGAAAAATTACGAACCCAGACAATGGGTTTTCTTTCTTTCTGCAGCTCTAGCTGGTATGGCTATCCATTTCAACCCCTAGTTTAGACAGCGGGGCACAGCACAAGGCCAGACTGCTGATCGAACAGTGAATTGAAAGCTTCCAGTTTCCTCTGCAGACCAGAGGCAAAATGAGGAAAACACAAGGAAAAGTTTTGTTCTCGTCACAGTGAGTCAAACTGATATCTGAAGTCAGTGAACTACCATCATTGAAAGTGCTGAAGGGGTCAAATCTATATCATAACCTTTAAAAAAAACTGTCAAATGAGACACAACAGTGAAAAGTGTTTTACTCTTTTTGGCTTACAGAGAACTAAGTGTTCCATGAAGCTTAAAATAGCTTTTGACCTTAGAAAGGCTGGGAAGTTCAGAATGCCATATTTTCATTAGGAAGACAACAATAATGATGGTGATAATGAGAAGATTAGCACAGATATTGAAATGGAAATTGTGTTCCTGTATTATAGAAGATGCAAAAAGCACCATGTTCTCTATTTTAGCAATTTCCCTTTCCTTGTCACTCATCTTCTAAGAAAGAATAGAGGCAAAAGATCTAAGGAAAATGTTTACCTTGCAAACATCACCAATGAAGATGTGGGTCATTTGAAAGTTTGTTTTGCATTGTGCTCCAAATAAAAATCCCGACTTCAAAGCTTAGCCTTTCTCACTGTCGGTGTCTCTCTTTCTGCAGGCATGCAAGAGTATTGGCCTTCCTCCACTTACGACTCACACCCCATCATCCCCTCTTTTCCTGCACCTGTTGACTCATGTCTGGGTATCATCTTCCGCTTTGGCAGCCCTTGAAAACTGGCAACTCGCATAAAGCCCACCCATAATAAGAAAGGAAAAGTGACAGTCAAAAAGTCTATGAAACAAGCTAAATGGCAAACAAATGATGACTGGACAGAGCTGCACCCGATCTTTCAGTTTTGCCAGAGAACACACAAGAGTTTTTCCTCCATAGACCAAATAATAATAATCAAATGTTATTTTGAAAGGTTGGAATGACCTCTCACATTAAGCTCTGACAGAAGCAGCTCTCTGGAACATTTCCAAAGTTCAGTGGGGTTCTTTCACCTTTCTCTTCAGATCTGGCCAGCCAAAGTACACAACTTAAAAAATAACCCCACCCACCCCCAACCTGGCCATTCCTCAGACAGTACTAGAAATGTCACATAAAAATACATTTTGCCTACTAAATCTCCTGGGATAGTTTCAAAAGTGTGTATAAAAATACTGATTGCCTTGAAATGCATACTTAATGAATCATCGACTTTGTTACAACAAGTCTTCCTCGTTGGGAAAAGGCACATCTTTTCCTTTCATCTCTTTTTGTTCCGCTCCCTTCCCCTCCCATGACCAAAAATGGAAGTTAAACTTTGACTGCCAGGTGAGGGAGCTCTGTGCCAAGAAGAGGGATCACAAACAAGCTGCTTTCAAACATGGGATTGTGAATGACAGAGAGCTGCATCCAAAGCTGCAACTAGGAGTGGGGGAAGTGGAGGAGAGTGCCCATAGTCATGTGGCTGACTGGTTTTCTTTCCTAGATCCGTCAGCATGCACTTGGGCATCTCTCTCTCTCTCTCTCTTGCTCTCTCTCACATACACACATGCAAAGTTGCATGGCCTCACAGAGATGACACTACAGCTCTTCAACTGCCTACACTTCTTAGTAAAGCTTTGATTCAAATGGGGATGCAAAGAGTTTTCAGAATTTTCAAGAATTTTTGGATTCCTGGAGTATCCTAATAGCTCCAGCAACATTTTCTTTTGAGATGTTTGTTTAACTTAATTAAAGGAAGAGGTGGCAAAACATGCACCTACTCAGATCAGAGAATTACTTGAATCGCTATCGCAAGTGGCACACAACACTTCTACATCTTTGGTAATCAGGGAAATTTTCTTGAATGGTGCCAACACTGATGATTTTTGCATGTTCTTACAGAGTATATGACAGACTGATTTCATAGAGGCCCAGCAATGCTCACAAAGAGAAGTGGGAAAAGACAGGCTGTATGGCCATGTTCCAGAAGCATTCTCTCCTGATGTTTCTTCCACATCTATGGCAGGCACCCTCAGAGGTTGAGGGGTTGACCTTTCAACCACTGAAGATGCCTGCCATAGATTTGAGTGAAATATCAGGAGAGAATGCTTCTGCAATATGGTTATACAACCCAGAAAACTCACAGCAACCCACTGATTCCGGCTATGAAAACCTTCAACAACAAAAAAACAGCTGTTTGGACAGAGCAAACTGGACATAGTTAGGGAAGGAAATAGCTATGCTCCTCAATGAATATTAATTGTTAAGAAAAATATAAGCTCTTAATAACGATTAAACACCTCCAGGCAGGGGCAAGCACACTATGTACTAGCTTAGCAATATGATACAGATAACCTAGATCAATCCCATATTTATTCCAGAATTCACCGCTTCCAGGCTGCTGTAGACTGCAGTGTTTTTTTATTTAAAAAAGAAGAAGAGGAGGCATTTCTTGGAAGGGAGTGGAGTATTTACTTTTGTCATTATAGTGTCATGCCCTTAGAATCACTTACTAAACTGAAGTTGTTAGCCAAGGTCCCTTAAATGGAATTGCTTGCAAACTACTTGCTGGTCCAAGACTAGCAAAGCCCTGCTTGGAGCAACCATCATTTTTGCCTTCCTGTCATGCCTCAATGGGAAGTCACAGAAGGGGAAATGAAAGCATAGGCACAACAGGTTACTGAACAAAACCTTCAACAGAATCAAAACATTGTTTTATATTATCACAAAAATTGGACTTCCAAATAAACTCCAAGAGTTCAATAAACCACCATCGGGATGGATCACAGCAATCGCTGCAAAACATTTTGCTTCATGATTTTAAAATAAGGACCCACACGAGTTCCTCACTATTTGCCTTGTATCTGCCAAGAGTCTAAATATGGGACTATGAGCCCTGAATGAAGAAACCCGTGAATATTACTACTGATGCAATATGATACATGGGCGATGAGGGTGGGCTAGTTACACTGCAAGGCAACTCTCAGCTTCTCAATGACATAAGCCCTGAAGATGACAATTAAAAACAAATTTCCCAAAGTGGTATTTCACAGGGTGAAATACATTGAAAAACTAAAATAACGAGGTGCTAAACATTATGTTTGTTGTATTTGTATCAACTATAATTAATAAAGATTTTGGAGGTTCTCCTTGAACTGATTTCCATACAATGTATAGAACATGACACATTCAGATAACTTTAAAAAAGGTAAACATTGACTTTACAGTATTCCTAAATCTGTCAGATTGAGCTTAATATCTTTGCCTTAAAGCAGACATGTGCAAACTATGACCCTCTAGGTGTTTTGGACTTCAACTCCCACAATTCCCAACAGCCTCAGGCCCTTTCCTTTTCCCCCTCAGCCACTTAAGCGACTGAGGAGGAAAAGGAAGGGGCTTGAGGCTGTTAGGAATGGTGGGAGTTGAAGTCCAAAACACCGAGAGGGTCATTGTTTGCACATGTCTGCTTTAAAGGAATCCTTAGAGCCATCTTCTTCTAAGGAGGGGATGCGTCATCAATAGCACCAAATTCTTTCTCAAGTGCAGGGATTTCACTTTTTAGGCAGCTCAGTTCAGTGCTTGCAATTCCTACACCTGTGAGGTAGATGAACATGGTGACACTACATCACAACAAAGAAGTTCCTTGGAGGACAAGGCCCAGCAGTGCATTTGCTCTTGGTGGAAGAAGGAGCTCTAATTGATATACACGCAAATCCAATCATGCCCTTCCTTAAATATTGGTATAACCATAACATGCCAGAATGGGGTCTCCTCCTGCATTTGGGACCACTGCAGTTGTCCAAACAGCTGTTCTATTTCCCATTTTACATGTCATTACCATCAACAGCCATGGTCATCAACCATGTCCCATCCCTGCAAATTAACGTTACCATGCAACACAGTACCTTTACAATGCAAATGCTCTTCCCCAGGAGGAAGGCTGTCTTCTTCACAGAGCAATTCACAGGCCTTTTCTCGCCCCGCATGAAAGCTATTGTGATCCCCAATGAAGTCATTTTTTCCAGTGCTATTGGAATACCCGTTGATGTACATTTTCAAGGCAGACCTCCGGAAGCAGAGGATCTCCTGGAAAGCATACCTAAAGTCTGGGCTACGGCAGTAAATTAAGGGGTTGAAGGCAGAATTGACATATCCCAGCCAGTTCAAGATCACGTACAGGGATTTGGGGATCACGTGTTCATTGATGGCATGCACAAAGTGGACAATGAAGAACGGGAGCCAACACAACGTGAACGTGCCCATGATAATGCCCAGGGTTTTGAGAGCTTTGTGTTCCTTCAAGCAAAACTTGGACACTCTCCTGTGACCGGCTCTTCCTGCATTCTGTTCCTGTTGGGAGCTCTGCTGGTGGAACCGGCCCTCGCACTTGTCTATCTTCTTGAGCTGCTTCCGGGCAACCTGGAAGACCCTCCCGTAGACAAAAACCATGACCACCAATGGCAGGTAGAAGGAGATGACGGAAGAAATGATGGCATAGCCTCCATTGATGAAGAAATCACAACAGTTTTCATCCTTGTAGCATTTCTCAGCCTCAGGGATGTCAGCTTTGTCCCAGTCCATCTGGATTGGCAAGAAGGAGGTCAGGATGGAGATGACCCAAACCAACAAGATGATCACCCGGGCTTTATTCTTGGTCAGGTGGCTTTGATACTTGAAAGGGGAGGTGATGGCAAAGTAGCGGTCCATGGCGATGACGCAGAGGGTCTCAATGCTGGCCGTGACACACAGCACATCGATGGAGGTCCAGAGCTTGCACCAGATGTTCCCAAACTTCCAGGTGCGCTGGATGATGTGGCTGGCGCCAAAGGGGATCACTCCCAGGCCCATCAGGAGGTCGGCACAGGCCAGGGAGGTGATGAAGTAGTTGGTGACCGTCTGGAGCCTCTGGAACTTGGCGATGGCGGTGATCACCAGGACGTTGCCAAAGACGATGGCCAGCACGATCAGGGACATGAGGATGCCCATGCCCACCACCCAGGTTTCTTCCGAGGCGGTGGCATTGCCCGAACTGGGGCCCCCGGAGGGGCTATCGTTCAGGCTCAAGGCGAAGGGCAGGAGCGGGCTGGCGGGGGAGCTGGCCACTTCCATGGCGCCTCCAGGAGCCCAAGTCAGCCTCGGGCGGCTCTGGCTTCCCGGCGGCCGCGACGAAGAGCCGTTTGGAGGCGCGGCGGGACCGGGCCCCGCATGTGGCCCTTGCCTTCCAGTCCGTCCTTCGTCCTTGCTTTCCTCCTTCCTCCTTCCTTCCCGCTCGCGCCGCGCCTGCGGATCCCTCGCCCGCCGAAGAACTTGTCCCGGCTCCCGTTAGGTTTAGGGGAGTTTATAGGAACTCCTAATTGTGACGTCAAGCCGCCCCCAGCCAATGGGCTGCCGGCGCACGGCCACCCTCCGAGCGCGCGACACCCGCGCAGCCACGCTCCGGGATGGGGTCCCGCCCGTCGGTCCGGTTGCCGCCCGCCCGCCCGCCTGCCTGCCTGCCTGCCTTCTTTCTTTCTTTCTGCGGGGATCGCCGAGGGAAGAAGGAAGGCTGGGGGGAAATGGCTGGCTTGGCCGTTGGGAAGAGGAAGAGACCTTCCGTCCGATCCTTCCTTGCTCCCTTCGGCACCTGATCCGAAGCCGGAGCTGCTTGGGCTCCGGCAAAACCGCCCGACAGAGCAGGAGGAAGGAGCCCGCGACGGGGAAGCAGGAAAGCAGGAAGGAAGGGGCCGGGGCGCCGCGGCGGAAGCCCTTCGCCTGGAGTCTGCCAGCCCGAGCTTCTCCCTCCACGTCCATTCCTACTTGGCGTCCTCAGCGGATTCCACGGGCTTCATCCTCCGCAGGACCCTTTGGGAAGTGAACTCCAGGGCTTGGTGCCCCGAGGGAGGGGCGGGCGTGCGGGTGCGGGGAACTCATCTAGCCCTGTCGTGGCGGGAAAGCGTGGGGAGCCTTTTGGTGGGAGGCTTTCTACTCCTGTGTGCATGGCCGGACTACCAATATATCGCACTGATGGTGTGCTCGTTTCTGGCAAAGTCTACACTGGGCATGGGCAAACTTCGGCCCTCCAGGTGTTTTGGGCTCCAACTCCACAATTTGTAACCACAATTTGTAACAGTCTACCAGCTGTTGGGAATTGTAGAAGTTGAAGTCCGAAACACCTGGAGGGAGGGCCCAAGCTTGCCCATGCCTGGTCTACACATTAATCTCTGCAGCAGTATCTCCTTCTTGGGTAGGTATCTTTCCAGAGAGTATTTGTTACATATCCTTCCAAGATGAGCAGTGCTAAACCAGACACGCCCTTGTGGGCTTTTCCAACTTAAGGTCCCATGAATCTATATCTGTCTAAGCACAATGTAAACCAGGGGTCCTCAGACTAAGGCCCGGGAGCCGGATACGGCCCTCCAAGATCATTTACCCGACCCTCGCTGAGGGTCAACCTAAGTCTGAAATGACTTGAAAGCACAACAACAACAATCCTGCCTTATCAGCCAAAAGCAGGCCCACACTTCCCACTGAAATATTAATAAGTTTATATTTGTTAAAATTGTTCTTCATTTTAATTGTATTGTTTTAAGTGGTTTTTGCACTACAAATAAGATATGTGCAGTGTGCATAGGAATTCATTCATTTTTTTTCAAATTATAATCCAGCCCTCCAACAGTTTGAGGGACTGTGACCTGGCCCTCTGTTTAAAAGGTTTGAGAACCTCTGCTGTAAACCATTCACACAAGCAGACCCCTCACAAGAAACTTAGGGCAGTGGTAAAGTGGCTGGGAATTCTGGGAGTTGTAGGCCAAAACACCTTCGGACCCACAGGTCAAGAACCACTGATCTACAGGGAACTACTTTTTCCTGTTCCGAAAACTGCATGTTTTTCTCTTTGGTCCGACAGTGTATCTACACTGGCCACTTTGGGCAGCTTCAAACTGGTGCTGAAGAAAGTGTTTTCCCTGTGCAGATGATCATTGTTCACCTAGGATATCCTAAAACCAGAAGGAGGCCGGAATGGCAATTACACAAACAAGAGAGCACTGGTGCACATTGATGATGACATTGTTATGGATGCTTTTGTGGGAGTTGGTTGTTTAGCCACCTCAGTTTAGCTCCAAGCTGCATTAAATGGTCAGTGTAGGTGGGACCTGAGAGAAAGACTGCGGCTGGATCTACACTACTCTGTATCCCAGGATCTGACCCCAGATTGTCTGTTAGTGGAGACTCATATAATCCAGTTCAAAGATGATAATCTGGAATACAGAGCAGTGTAGATCTAGCCTGTGTCACCCTGCAGTTTTTTCCAACCACCCTTTTTTGACCTATGACAGGCCTCATATTTATTTAAGCATCAAGTCTGCATTTATTGCTGCAATGTATGGACAGAAGTGCCTTGAGGTTGCCACAAGTTGGAAACATGAAGACATACAACAACAAACCTCATGGGACTTCAGTGAGATAACAACAGAGAGGAAGACAATTGGAACTCAGTTGGTGGTGCATGAATGTCATAAAAATGGTTTCTAAAATAATAGTTTCTGGGCTTTTGGGTTGCCACATTTGAAGTCCCTACTTGAATAAGATGCAGAGGCTTTTAAATGGAGCACAACCCCAGTATCGGTTGAGAGTATATTTCTGGACTTTGCAAATAATAATAATAATAATAATAATAATAATAATAATAATAATAGCAGCTAACCCTTTTTTAAATGAATAATTTTTGGCCCAAGAAAACTGTAAAGTCTCTCCAGAGAACCTAGCCAATGGCTAGAGAGGACATATTTTGTCAGAGAGGGATAAACAAAACACCAGGAAGTCATACTTACTGTACTTTGTGTTTTTCAATAGCTGCTATTAACAAGAAGTACAATGAGATTATGCTTTTCCTTTTCTAAAGTGTAAAGATCAATTCATTAGCAGTAAAGTCATGAGGGCTATATATTACCTCCTGCGTGCTTTTTATGTTTGGGAGAATTTATGTTTACTTGCCTGGGGTCTTTTATTAAACATCTACGGTTGGCAACAGAAGAAAACATTGCCTCCCTAGGTGTGATGTTTTGGACTTCATCTACCCTGCCTCTTCTTATGGCCTAAACTATTTATTGATCTCTCATTCATTGCAGTTATTATTGGTTCCTTTCTATGACATTCCTCCTGCGTAGTCAAAATCCATGAATTCAGTCATTCAAGCTTTCTCTTAATCAAGTCATAATTGTTTAACTGTTCCTTTCTTCCATTGTATATATACATTAGCTCCTATCTGATACTTGTATCCAAGCAGGGTCAGCCTTGGTTAGTACTTGGATGGGAGACTGCCAATGAAAAAAGAAGCTGCAGGCTATATTTCAAAGGAAAGAAAGGGCAAAATCGCCTTGAGTATTCCTTGTCTAAGAAAACCCCAGAAAATTAATGGCATTGCAGTAAGTCAACTGGCAAAGTGTACACACACATGCACATCACATATTTAACACCTACACTATCCTCCATCTCTCCACAACTTGCCATCCTGGTAGATCCTCCTGGTAATGACCTGCCACTACAGAATGGAAAATTCACAAGTGAACATATGAGCTTTTAAAGGTCACTACAGAATATGAGTTCATTTTGCAGCTACACGAAAATGGAGTCTCTATTTGTATTCTAGTCTTTTGGGATTTGTCAGTGAAAGGGAAGAATAATTTACCAACCCAGAAATAATGTGGGTAGTTCATTCAAAAGTACTTTTCTTTTATATACATATTTATTTATTTTTCTGTCCATACTCAAAGTGGCTCACAACTAAAAGTATTTCAATACAACTTAAAATATACAAATATTAAAACAGCATTAAACAACATTAATATTAAAACAATCCAGGTTAAAACCATAAAAGCATATAAAATAACACCACAAAATCACAACAGCCCTTGAAGGTTTTAAACACCTTCATCTTTAACAGCCTGCCTGAATAAAAAAAGTTTTAGCCTGCTACTAGAAGGACATTCTGGCTTCCCTGGGAAGAAGGGAGTTCCAGAGTTGAGGGGCAGCCACTGAGAAGGAAGGCCCACTCTCTCGTTCCCACGAAACGAGCTTGAGTTGGATGTGGGACCAAGAGAACGGCCTCTCCTGAAGATCTAAGAGTCCAGGCTGGTTCGTACAAGGGGATGCAGTCAGTCAAATAGCCTGGACCTGAACCATTTATGGCTTTAAAGGTTTGATCAGCCTCTTGCAGTTCGATCAACCACTTGCCCTCTCGACCCGTATCCCTCTTGGCTAGTTAAATTTTGCTTGGAGGGATTATGTGGTCCTTTGTTGAATATAGTAAATGGCTCTCTTGAGCAAGGAGTTTTTCTAGAGACCTGTTTGATCAGCCAGGAAGGATCTGGAATACATGTGGTAGCTCTCACCTCTCCAAGGATCTTGTCCACACCCTCAGACTGCACAGATTGAAAGGTTTCCATCAATACTAGATAAGCCAAAGTTACATCCACTGGAACTGTATCAATAACAGCATCCATAATCACTCTGAACAGATCTGAGTGACTATCTGCAAAATGTTGTTCAAATTCTTCACAGTGGGCTGCTGAGTGATCAGGGATTTTTCCTTGAGGAGCAATATGCAATAGCCCTCTGACTACGTGAAACAGCTGAGCTGGTCAGTTCTTTGCAGATGCAATGGTAGCAGCAATGAATTATTTCTCTGCTGCCCCCTTTGCCATGGAGTAGGCTTTCAAATACCTCTAGCCTGTGCTCAGTCAGATTTGCTTTGAGTTCTCCACCAACATTGCTCTAGTCTCCATCTCACTTGCTCTATCATTACCAACTCCTTGGAAAACCAAGGGGCTGGTTTGGCTCTGCTCCATGAGAGGGGACATTCATGAGCAATTGTGTCTACTACCCTGGCCATTTCCCCATTCCAGAGGTCAGCCAGAGCCTCAACAGAATCACCTGCCAAGGTGAAAGGAAAATCCCCAAGAGCTGACAGGAACCCATCCTGATCCATAAGTCTCCTGTGGCGGACCATCTTAATTGGTCACACACTCCTTTGAAGGTTTGGAGTCCCAGCTAGTGTAAACTTGACCAGATAGTGATTGGTCCATGACAATGGAACTGTGACCAATTCCTCCACACCACCATCACCATCATCCTATCCTGCACAGAAAACAAGATCCAAAGTATGTCCAGCAGCATGGGAAGGGCAAGACACCACCTGGGACAGACTTGTGGTTGTCATGGAGGCCATGAAGTCCTGAGCCACTCCCAATGGAGCAGTCTCAATATGGAAGTTGAAATCTCCCAGAACTATTAGTCACTGAGACTCCAATGCCAACCATGAGACCACTCCTGCTAGCTCAGGAAGGGAGACTGTTGAGCAGTGGGATGGGCGTTACTCCAACAGAATC